ACAGCATGTGTCTATATTCCTTTGAACATTTTCGATATCAATTTTCTAAGCATGGATCTGTTTCTTTCAGATTTTTAGGACCATACTGCTGCTATTTTCAAGCCAGACATGCTTTCTAGGATATCTGATTTCCTAAAGAGCTAGGTAAACTTCATGTACTCTCAAAACAATATATATATGTAAATGTAGAAATATACCACAGTTGTACCACAGGACAGTGTTTCCCAAAACTCACTGATAAGCTAAAACAACCTGGAGCTTTCAAAGAAAAAAAAAGACACAGAGCTCAGTCCTGTCATCGACTTACTGAGTGGTTTATTATATTTTTGAAGCTCTCAGGATAATTTTGGCGAAGCTGTATTGGACCCTCTTGTATCTGATAATTACATGGAGTTTTTAAATGTAAAAGCTGGCAAGAAACTTGAAGGTGGTTGAATTGAGCTACATACATTGTAGTGGAGGAAACTGAGGCACAGATAGATTATGCAGTTTCCTCAGAGTCTCTTCCCTACATGTGAGTATCTCTGGGATTTAGGGTCCAGAGGTACTCACATGTAGGGTATCTCTGCTTAACTCCTGCTCATAGTTCTCTCATTATCATGCTGTCATTCGGAGTAACTTTCATCAGAGAAGTTTAAAGACCTCATTTTGTATAGGATCCTTAGCTCATGGAGCTGACATTGCAGAAATGTACTCTTTGCCAGGACGCCATCACATTGACTTCAGATGCTTTTTCTGCTCTTTGACAATCTGTCCTTACAAAGTAATAGACCTAAAGGGGTCTAGGCTAGGGCCGCACCATCCACCAGGGCTGTCGTTACTGCCCTGCAGGTGATAGCACAGAAGCTGTTCTCTGGTTTTGGTTTCGTCGTCTGCATTGCTGAATACCAAGATGCTCTGTTCCCATTTGTGTCCATTGCCATCCACTAAATTGTCTTACCATAGCCTATAGCTTAAAAGTACACCGGCACATTTTTATGAAGAATAAAAGAAATACAAATCAGAGAATGTAAAAATACAATTCAAGTCAAGGCATATTTTGCATATTCTGACCAGTTTAGCAGCCCAATCATAAGTGTTTTTAAATATCAAAGGTAAGATGTTAGCATTGTCTAGATACTAATTATGGGAGAAAATGCTATTGTCTATAATGAACAGTGGTATTTTGTTAGGGAGAAAAAGAAAATTTAAAAATTCAAAGACTTTTTTTTCCTGTAACTTCTTTTTTTCATTGGCTCCCCCTTTCTCTCTGAGGGTGCCTTTAAACAACTTAGAAAAGCAGAACTTTGAAATTGAACAACTTGGCTGTTCCTTGAAAAGTGGGTGGGGTGACAGTCATGAGAAGGCCCTTAAATAGAAGCACCACTTCTTCTGTTCTGTCCAGGGATTGATTCTTTGAATCTCAGGAACTTATGTTCATTCTTCTTTCCTGTTTTTTGGGTGGGGACCACTGGGTGTGGGGTGTGGTGGGGAGACAGTTGTCTTTCTAAATTTATCATTTTTTTTTTTTCGAAAGAATGCCTCACTCTTTCACCCATGCTGGAGTGCAGTGGCACGATCTCGGCTCACTGCAACCTCCGCCTCCTGGGTTCAAGCAATTCTCGTGTCTCAGCCTCCTGAGTAGCTGGGATTACAGGCACCTGCCACCGCGCCTGACTAATTTTTGTATTTTTACTAGAGATGTGTTTTCACCATCTGTTGGCCAGGCTGGTCTCAAACTTCTGACCTCAGGTGATCCACCCACCTTGGCCTCCCAAAGTGCTGGGATTATACAGGTGTGAGCAACGTCACCTGGCCTCAAATTTTTCTCTTTTTCTTTTTTTTTTTTTGAGACGGAGTTTCACTCTTGTTACCCAGGCTGGAGTGCAATGGTGCAATCTTGGCTCACCGCAACCTCCGCCTCCTGGGTTCAAGCAATTCTCCTGCCTCAGCCTCCTGAGTAGCTGGGATTACAGGCACACACCACCATACCCAGCTAACTTTTTGTAGTTGTAGTAGAGACAAGGTTTCACCTTGTTGACCAGGATGGTCTCCATCTCTTGACCTCGTGATCCACCTGCCTCGGCCTCCCAGAGTGCTGGGATTACAGCTCAAATTTAGTTTAAATATTTAGAAGCTTAGATATTTCTAACACCAACTGATGTATACATACAGTAACAGAAGATGCTTTTCTCTCTACCATTAGCATTTGAGGGGATTGCTATGAAGACTGGAGATACTTCGCTGGACTGAAGATGTGCATCTTTTGTTTGCCCAATATTACAAACTTATTTTGTTTTGCCTTCTTTTGTATTAATATTTTGAATTTTATCTCAGCAATATTGATTTCAGTTAGAACTTTGTATTGCTTCAAAAGGAATGCTCTATTCAGAGAGTCTCCAACAGACTAGAAGCAAAATAAGTCAACTCATTTTTGGATTATAGTCTAATTGAAAATAGCCTACATAACAATTATATTTCATGCTTAAAATATACATCTGTGCCCTGAAAATTTAACAAATAATGTATAATTTTTGTATTCACTTGCTAGCAACGACTTATTTTCTCTCTACAGATTTTGAAACTTTCCATTTGTAATAATACTATTCTTTAATGATTACTGACCCCTTAATTTTTACTTTATAAAATATTAATATACATATATAGGCTTATATTTTTAAAATATATAAAACTTTGCCTTAACTATTTTACACTATAAATTTAATCAATAGTAACTAAATTGGCTAAATTAAAATTAAAATCACTTTTTAGATCAATGTTTATATCTATAATAGAGTTTTCAGTCATAGTTCTATCAAAGCAATATTGTGTCATTGGACAGTTATAGAAAACACTGGGTCACAAAAAATAGTTTAAAATTAATTTAAAACTAATTAAAAAGTAGTTTCTATTCTCAGAGTTTAGCAGTCTAATGTGTAGAGCAAAAACATCATAAAATAATTCGTGTTTAATAGTAACCATTGTACTATATACATGTAGTTACGCATATTCATGTATCTTAGCATATCCTGTAACATTCTGTCATAAACCTCAAATATATAAAATACAATGTATTTAAAAAAACAAAAAGATGAAAGGAGTAACAGCTGAGTGGAGACTTGGAAAGTACACATGAGTAATCCAGGCAAGGAAAGAGGCCAGACATTGTCATTCGACTGTACTCTTCTCATAATGCACACACAGACCCTGGAACAGTGTAGTTACTCAATAAACTTTTGTTTAAAAAAAAAAAAAAGGGTGAAATCACTGTTGGCCCAAGGCTACCACATTTGTTTCTGCCAATTATACTCTGTAAGAATATCCCACTTTGGGCAGCGGGGCACCCACAAATCCATGAGCCCTAGGAAGAGTTGTGCCTTTCCAAAGAAAGGTGCTCCTTTTCCTAGTTTACTGGGCAGCTTCTGCTCTTCAAGCCAAGTGCTCACAGAGCAGTCCGCAGAGGGAGTCTCTTTCCAATTGACCCAAAGGAGATATATGGGACACTGATGATTCCATTGTGTGAGGTTTCATGGATGAATTGGGTTCTTGAAAAGGTCATTGTAATGGTGAGGATTTATGATGTGGATCAACATGGGGGGACTTTTGCATGTGGGATGGGGGCAGATTTAGCATAAGTTAAGGTACAGAGTCTGAGATGAATATTATATGTGCAGTAGTCAGTGAAGAGACTAGATTGATTGGAACAAAATGTGCATGCCTGATAAGTAGCAGATTAAATGGGAAGGTGAGCAGAGGTCACTTTGTGAGGGCTCTGAATGCTGTGTAAGGAATTTGGATTTTATCCTCCAGATGAGAAATCATAGGCATTTGTTCCAGTTCATCACAGGATCAGTGATATCTTATTTAGCAGATTAACCCAGGATTATGCAGCATAGAACAAAAGGAGAGAGAAATGATTAAAGGGAAGGAGACAAGGTTTGAGGCGGCTGTATATAGTACATGTTTTTAGTATCTAGCCCAGGATTGAAGTAATGAGAATGAAAAGGAAGAGCTGTTGTGTTAGTGCTTCCGTATATATGAGCATTTCGATTGCTTCCAGTCTTTCTAATTATTGAACATATGTCCATCTGCATAAGTGAATGAGTAGTCAGTGCTTATCAGTTACATCAGCTGAAGTGTAGTGCCTACCGTACACTAACTTCAGTAGGCAGAGCAGAGGAATTCCAATTTAATCCTATCCTCAGTAATCCTTTTTTAAATTATTGCCAGTCTCATATCTGTGAAATAGTATCCCTTTTTCGTATGTGAAATATCTCTCTTTGCATTTCTCTGATAACGAATGAGGCTTAGCATATTTTCATGTTTATTGACCATTCAGACTTCTTGTCTAAAATATACTCATTTTTTGTATTGCATTTGTCTTTAGTTCTGTATATTCTGGATACTAATCTTGTGGCAGTCACATAGTTTGTCAGGGCATTCTCCCAGTGTTTCTCTGATCTCTTAATGTTGTATATTAGGCATTTTATATTAAAAATATATTGTAGGCAATTTCTTAAGCTGCTTATTTATGATTTAAGCATTTTCTATCTTGAGTAACAAGTTCTTTAATGTCAAACAATTTCTGCCTGTATTTTGTTCTAGATTAAAATTTGAATTAATTATTTCTTACTCAATTTTTAATTTATATGACACTAATATGCATAACTACCAGGTAATCTTTCAGATTAAGGAAAATGAAAAGCGGAAAAGGAAAATTTTGTAAACTTTATTATAGTTTTCTTTGTAAGTCTATAATTGAACCATGATAACCAAAAGATATCCACATCCATCACGGTTTGTGATAATGAAAATTAATGTCTTTTTCATTGATTTTTACAGGAAATCTTTCAGAGTTCACCTTCGTGAAGTCTTCGCAGAGTAGTTACTTCTACTTCGGTTGAATATAATTTCCTTTCGCACATATTTCTGGCCTTAGTCTTCATAACTTCTTGCATATGTCCAGAGGGAATACATTGTCATTTTTAAAACAGTTAACATAGGATTCATTTTACTTTCAGCAATTCACAGAGGCTGTGAGTCCTTCAGTGTTACCCCCATCAATTTTGCCACTGGACCTGCTTAATAACGCTATAACTGCCTTTACTACCTTGGAAGACCTTATTCGATATCTTGAACCAGATAGATGGCAGTTGGACATAGAAGAGCTATATAGGCCAACTTGGCAAATTCTTGGCAAGGCTTTTGTTTTTGGAAGAAAATCCAGAGGTAAGCTCCCTCTTCAGATTAGAGACTCACTTAATTTTCTTAGCATCTAATGTTTCAAATTCCTTTGCCAGAGCTTCTAAAGGGTAGAGTTTAAAATTCATCAGGAATATATTCAATAAATATTCTTAACATTTAAGCATATTTATATATTGAATAATAATATATACAAAAGGAAAAACTTAGTTATAACCCAGTGAGTCTGGAAAATTGAAAGGGATACTTCTGAAAATTCCAGTTTTATTTCATCTTCAAAAATATCATTTTGATGAAGGCCTTCATTGCATTTTACAAAAATCATTGCTTACTCAAACCTAATACTTGGAATATGCTGATTTCGAGATTCAAGAGAAATTATCATAGCTGTATAACCAGGTTAGGGGTAGAAAAAGGGGATGTTCTACAAAAGTGTTTGTCTACAGTGTCTCCCATGCGTCAGTATTATATCACTTTGCATTTTCTAACCTAGACACTTATAAAAAATATGAAAAATGACATTGACCCAACATATAGTAGAATTAGTAGTTTTCAAGGTAGCATCCATAGCAAGAAAGCAAGAACCTAAATGTACCCACACCATAATAATTTTTTTTAATTTGCTGTTGAAATAATAACTTTCTCCCATATGGGCATATCTTTCTCTAAGAGTGAAGTGAAAGTGCTATTAATTAAACCCCATTCTACATGGCCAAGAAATTGGAAAAAAATGTTAACTGAGTTTTCTCTAAGTTTACCTATATTTTTTAGTAACATTAGAATTGAAAAGTATACATATCAGACACAAAGGAAAGTGTATAGAAACAACTGTTTATTTACAATGCACTCAAAAAATCCGTTTTAGTCTGTCAGAAGCATGGAAATCTACCACTTTAGAGAAAGTAATGACAGCCTAGAGAATTTATGTGAAAGGAACAATGTTCAGTTAATTTGAGCCATTCACAAGGGTTGCAGCAGACTTGCTCTTCTAAATCTTGTCCGAAGGAAACCCAATTCCTGCCCTTTCCTGCTCTTAAGAGTGGCAGTGCTTTTGGATCATGAGCTTTAATCTCAGCAGGTCATGTTCAGACTTGCCCAGCCCTGGTATTTCATTATGCCAACAGACGTGGTTTCCTTTTGGCAATATTTGAAATCGGCGTTCAAGCACATGGGCAGCCGAATCCTATCCAGATGCTGAAAGCTGTTACATATTTATAAGATTTGATCTTGATGAATAACTTGATGAATACCTTACAAACAACATTTCCCTTCCCTCCCACTTAGGAACAGGAAGATGAAGATCTGCAAAACTAGCTGAAACCTCCATGAATAGAGCCCTTGTTAGCAAATTTGAAGTTGATTATCATGTTGATCTGTAAGAAGCAGGGGCAGTGAATCAGATTCTAAACTGAGATCTAGTTTTTTGACAGCCGATTTCTGGATTTGAGCCTAAAAACCTCCCTTCTAGCCAAGCCTTTGTGTCTGAAAGATTTGGCCAGAGGCTAGCTTGCATTCAAAAGCATCGGAAGCTGAACCAGGTCTTTCAAATATTCATTTAACACTTTCAAAATTGAAGCCCTTTGCAGTTTGCCAAAACTATTAACTTTTTAAGCATACAGTAAGTGTGAGAAAAGCAGTGTATATTTTTGGAACTTTACATAAACTAAAATGCAGGCGTGGGATAACATCTATGTAGACAAAACCAACTCCCCTCCTGAGAGTATCTCTACAAAGGAATAAGGAGTAAAACTTTTAAAAGCATCTAATTAGACATTGAAATAGATTTTTCACAGAATAAATATATCACAGTGTTACCACATTCATCTTAGAAAGACCACCCTCAGATTACATTACAGTAATAGACTATCTTTGGACTGAATATCTTAAAAGAATGAAGAACTAACAAAGAAAAATATAACCTTTTTTGTAGTAAAACTTAAAATATTGATGATATTTGCTTTTAGAAATAATGATTTTGCTTGGTGATGTGCTCAAAATCTGCTTTCTTTAGAAAAACAAACTAATACATCTTTTGTCTTAGGAGATAATTATGAAAAGGAAAGAAAATCTGAACACCAACTTTCACTTTATAAATATTTTGTGAAGGGAAACTTCTTTAATATTGTAATTTAAGCTATTTACAAAGTATGCTTTGAAGCATTATCTTTCTTTTTTCCTTTTTCTTTTTCTCTTGTTTTCTTTGCCTTCCCCCGCCCCCCCCCAAAAGTACTATACAGTGTTTCAAGAATATATGACACAGGACTTATTTTAACGAAGCTTCTATGTATTTGAAGCCTTATAGCAGTAGGCAGCATAAATTTCAAATATGAAATGCCAAATCTAAAATCCTTAATTATATTTTTAGAAAACTGTGGACTGCATTAATGCTTTACTTTTTTCCTTTCATTTTCTTCCTCTGGTTCAGAGTTTTCATTCATCCCTTGCTACAGCTACAAAAAAAAAAAAAAAAAAATACTGTATTTTCTAAGTCAAGCTTAACTAGTACTTAAAAAGGGCTTTTGACTTTTGTGTCACACATGATAAATGAGTGGAAGCTAAGTTAAAAGTGTGTTTAAATTTTCACATTGTAACAGGTATCACAACTTAGTTCACTTGGGAAATCTGTTGAACCTTTTATTGTGGTTAAGTAAACATTTTAAAGAGAACATATACAATCTCTTTCTATTATCATGAATTATCATATTTAAAACTGTTTGACATAGGTGAATATGCTTTGCGAGCTGCGAGCTTCTTCATTCATGCTAAAGAAGTACAGTTCTTAAATAAGCATTGAACATTTTGGCAGCCAGATTTTGTGCATATTTTTAAGTCTTCTTCCTCCTTGCCCAGGCATTAACTACTAGAGAAAAGATTCAAATAAGCTCATATATACTTTTAGCAACAAAAGAGGAATGTGTACATATACTATTAGATCAGCAAAATGAAACCAGGTAAAATATGTGATACCATTTAGCATAAGGAGCTCATTACTTTTAAGGGATAAGTTGGTCTATTCAGGGCATTTGAATGAAGGATTTGATATTAAATATTTAAAAGCTTTGCTTTCACAGGATCATTTTCAGATAAAAGAAATCTTTTTTTTTTTTCTTTTGCCAAATGAAACAATGATTTTCCCTTGAGTTAGAAAAATAATTTTTTAGCTCAATAAGGTGTTGAAATGGACTCATTGAATTAAAATTTCTATTGTTCTGAATTAAAATTTCTATTGTTCTTTCCTACACTTGACTCAAGTTTTAGTCTGTCATACAATTTACATACATTTCGAGTTTCCAATTTGCCTATGCATAATTTTATAATACATTTCTTAAAATACTTAAATTATCAAGGACAATGAAGACAATTGATCACATATATAACAAATCCAACAAAATAAGCATTTGATTTTTAATTACCTTGTCATTTAAAAATTAATAAAAATTAGCTCTTAATTTAAAAAATTGGATTACATCGTGAGCATTTCTACTTGAAGCCATCTTTAACCAGAAAATATTTTCTTTTTTCTATTCATGTCTGTTTTCCATATTAGTGAAAAAATATTTAACTAGGTTTATTATATTTTAGACATTTCAAATTTTAAAAAATATTTAGGAGAAAAGAAAACCCTAAAGGAATATGTTTTCTGATAGTATTCAATGTCATTAGCATTGCTTTATTTGAATATTTCTAGGGAAGAAATAGGAAGAGATATAAGGCAGAAAATAAATTATATTAGAAGTATTTGTTCTAATAGTGATTACCTACTGTTCATGTGATATGTATAAATTCATATTGAACATGACACGTTATTTTGACATAACATATAATTATCCTGAGGCAGAATCATTTTGTAGTTAAAAACAATGGTTCTTTGAGAATTTATTGCAACACTCTGATGAAAGAATATTTTGTTCGGTCCTCAAAAGTAGGTATTCTTTCATAGAATAAAGCACAAACCACATAGTTAACCAACTTGTTAAAGGAATAGAGACGGGTTATAAATTAGATATATTAAACATTTATTCCACCCATTAGCAGGGGACAGATAGTGATCTGAAGGAGTTTAGTTAGGCTAAATTTCCAAGATGGGATATTATTCAATACATTTGAAGCAGTCCCTTCCTACAACTTCTGCTCGTATAAAGTGTGCCATTTTTTTTCACTCTTAGTCTACACAGCTATCCTAAAGTGTGCATTTTCTTCACGCATTTTTTATATTTTATGATTCTTATTGCTGTAGAGATTACAGAAAGTACTAATGACAGGTTTCAATATATTCTTCACTAATTATAAGAGTTTTAAATTTTTTTAGGGATTTTGTTTTTCATCAAAGTATTCATCATTTTGCATTTTATTCTCCTCTTTGTGTCTTTTTTTTTTAACTAAGGTTAAAACGTGTGGCCCTTTTTGTCTCTATAAAATTTCCTATTTATAACTTTCAACTGTTTTGTTGGCTGTTCTTAATATTACACAATGGCATCCCTTTACTGGTCTCTAGGTCATAATGAAGCTTTGTTTAATATGAAACAGAAAGTCCGATTTGTAGTTGTGTATCTCTAAAATCAACTTAAAATAAGAGGGGGTATTGTTACGGATATTGTTCATGAAATAACATAAGATTTCTTTATGAAGAGAGCTTAATGAAATACATTCAGGCCCAAGCATCAGCATCTATTTTTCTTTGCTTTCTTTTATGCCATATAGTGGTGGATCTGAATCTTCTAACAGAGGAGGTAAGATTATACAGCTGCACACCTCGTAACTTCTCAGTGTCCATAAGGGAAGAACTAAAGAGAACCGATACCATTTACTGGCCAGGTTGTCTCCTGGTTAAACGCTGTGGTGGAAACTGTGCCTGTTGTCTCCACAATTGCAATGAATGTCAATGTGTCCCAAGCAAAGTTACTAAAAAATATCATGAGGTAGGTATATAATTTTCCTTTTGGTTTCCTTTGGGTATTTTATGTCGTAGAACAAAACAGTGAATCTGAAATGCATATATGTTTGGAAAAAAGATGTAGTACTCATGGGGAAAAAAAAGGTTTACAAATAGTTTATGTTTTTATTTTTTTAAATTAGCACCTTTAATTAAAATTCTAGATATTGGGAATTTAGAAAGCTTATTCTCTGGATATACCACATGAATGGACAGGGAAGTTTTTGCCTCTCATACCAAAAAAAAAAAAAAAAAAGTTTTTTCTGAGGAAAAAATAGTAAAGATTTTCAATTTTTAAACTTTTTAAAATATGAAGGAAAAATATTTCAAAGACAAGCTCAGAGATACATTATCTACTTTGGAGAAGGAAGATCTTTGCTATTTATTTTTCTGCTTGTGGCAACAGAGACTCCTAAGATTACATATTCATAATTATACTAAATATCATATTATTTATGTTTCTTCAAATAACATGTTAAATGTTGTATGGTTTTTTTTAACCTTTCATCTCTTTATTCTCTGGAATGAAAAAAAGTATTATATGATGTGTTTCTAATTATTGTTTTTTAGAACCCTGGGATCCTTAGAACTTGTACATTTAACTTTTTGTTAGTGATGGAGTCTCCCAATTTTATCCCACCATCTCCCCAGCATCATCATATAGAATACTTCTATTAGGAAGCCACCCTTCTTGATGAGTCAACTTTAATTTCTACAAAATATTTACATTAGACCAAGTCAAAATCTGCCCTTCTGATGTCATGTCAATATGACTGCCTTTCCTTTCATTTTTTCCATTAAATAAAATAAGAATACAGAATAAATATCTACTTAATAAATAAAATGATTTTTCATACACATAAGGACCTCAGTGAAAGCCTTAATTGAAGTGAAAGCCTAGCTCTAGAATGGTAACTGGGTCCCTTGTCTTTGGGAATCCAGTGCTTTTTTTTCCACTTGATCAAATGCCAACACAATATTGGTGAAGGACAGGAAAATCATGTCTTAGGAAGTACGGCTTTTGAAACCATGCATGTTTAGGTTACCTAACAGATGAGGGTTTCAGTGAAGGTTCTACCTATGAAAAATCATTTTATTTATTAAGTAGATATTCATGTCATTTCTTGGAAAAATATAAAGGTCATGAAGTAATTTTTAAATGAAATCAGAAGGGCAGATTTTTATTGTTATTATTTAAAGGCTTTGTAAAATTTAAAGTTGACTCCTCAAGAAGGATGGTTTCCTGATACACGTTTGGTACCTGATGCTTCTGGAGAAGATGGGATATAACTGAGGAAAACTAAAAGATACTGTAGCATGATAATGTATTAATAAGATTCTTACTTTTGTATCAATCACTGGATCTCTTTGTGGGAAGACATTTTAGCCAAATAAACGTATTTTCATAATGATTTTTCTAAGTCTCAAATAAGAATTTTCAGAAAAGCAAGTCAAGAACTTTATATACATATAAGCTTAGATGTCATATCTTCCTTGAAATGCTGGTGGCCTACCAGTTCTAGCATCTTTGGTGCATCTATAGGGCTTTAAAGATACTCTATTAGAAAACTGTTACCATTTCAAAATTATTGTCTATTTTTCTTTGTTTCTATTGAATTGAGAAGTAAGGAAAACAAAAGTCACATTACAATGTAATGCTTGAGAACACAAACTCCAAAGCTAGACATCCCAGATTAGAACATAACATTTGTTTGTTGTGTGACTTTGAGCAAACTGCTGAGCCCTTGTGCCTAAATTCCTCATCTGTAAGGTGAGTCTCCAACCATCATACTTTACTGTGAGGATTTAGTGGGTTGATATTTCAAAACACTTAGAATTAGGCCTAGCAATTTTCATGCCCTTAATATATATTTACGACTGTCTCACTCATCTTTACTTTTTCACCATGCCTAGTCTTATTCTTTGATTATAGTAAATGATCAGGAAAGATTTTATAAATTTTGCCTTGAAGGAGGAAAGGTGTTCTGGCCAAAAGGTCTACAGGACACTCTGACAATAGTATTTGTTCCATTTTCTCTGTTCTTTGCGTAATCATTTTCATCTTCTCTATATTTTTACATATTTAATTTTTTATGAAATAATAGTCTTACAGGCTATTATTAACAAGCAGACCTAAAGAGGTATACCATTCAATTGTCTTTTTCTAATACCGAGTCTCTGTTCCCAGTGCTCTGTGGTTCTCAGAAGTTTAAGGTCATTTTGTTTGAAAGTGTTGAGCAGTGGTCCATAAGCACTTGTCCTTTGCTGGTTCTCTGTGTCTGATCTAGTATCTTCCATAATCTCTGACTCAGCTTCTCCCTGGACATTACTTTTCATGGAATTATTTTAATTTCAACCTCTAAATTTTCTGAGATGAACTTCTGTCCTGTTTCTTTTCTGGTGGCATAATTTATGTCCTTTTCCTTTTTAATATTTTCTGGAACCTGCTAATCATTTTCCAAGTCTACTTTTCTCTTCCAAGTCAAAACTTTCAAAACGAATTAAAAAGAAGAACATTAATTGTGTCCTTCACCATTAGAATTTCTTATCTAAGACTAAACTTACTAGAACATTAGGAGATTCTTTTACTCTATGTAAATCTCCATGAGCATCAGCAGACAAAGACAGGGGACTTTGATTCAGCAAATGCATCTTGGCATATGTATGCTAGAGGAAGCAAGGATTGCAGCTTGGCCTTTCTGAGTGCTAGGACTGTGTATGGTAGCCTCTCTAACCTTTACCTTACATAGTAATTTTTTTCCTTGCTGAATGGAAAATGCATACAGGTAGATATAGGAATTAAAGACACTGGCTTTGCCAATATTTTAATTTATCTTACCCACCCAGCCTCATTCCAGAAACAGTTTGGAGCAAGACTGTGATAAGGAATAGTGCCAGTATCTGAAATGTAGCTAGCTTGATCCCACCCTAAATTGTTGAAAAATAGTACATCGGTACGAACATAAAATAGTACTCAGTAATCACTGAGTTAAATATCACATTAAAAAAATAAAGTTTAAGTAAGTTTTATTCTAGAATTGTGAAATAAATGAGAAAACCACTTCTACTTTAAAAGTTTACAATTTCTAATAGTTATTACAAGACTTTGAAGTTTATCTCTTCAGGAAGAAAGTTACTAAATAAATAGAATGTTTGAGCAGTAATATTCTGAGTCTATAAAATTATTATCCATCACTCTAATTTAATAATTCATCTTTGGCCTAAGTACAAATAAAGTCGGTGTCACTTATTCTCTCTAAGCCTCTGTTCACTCATGTGTAAAATAGGGGTAATGTAAATTACTTCATAGGATTCTTTTGAGTTAAAGTATGTAAAAACATTATTATTGTGCCTGGCACCCAGTAAGCATTCAAAAAATGTTAGCTAATTAACCTCTGATATTACCACATACTCCAGCGAGGTACGCATTCTCTGTTTTTCTTTTAAGTCTCTAAATAGAACAGTCATAAGACTTGACTTGTGCCTTTTTGGATTAATGCACATTTTCAGGAACAATAGCTTTTAGAAGTTGCTTTATGACATTATCTATCTCATATCCAAAAAGGAGAGATGCTAGAAAATTTCATATTATTTTGTTCTCTAGCCTTTGTTCATAATCCAAACAAAATACAATTTCTTAAACTTTGTTGTTTCTCTCATAAGAAATAAAATGTAATACATTAAATAGGTAGCAAAATCAAATACTTCAAATAATATTTTATAGAATGCACAACTATATCTTTTTGTCATAGTTTTAAGGGGAAATATGTGTACTGTAAGTGTCAATCTTGCTGTATTTTTACTAAAACCCTTGACAGTCCAAACTGCAAATGAGTTTATTTAATAGAGGCATTATTGTTATTATTGCCAAACCTCTTCTCACTGCACAGTAGGATCCAGCTGCAGGAAGTTAGCTGAGACTGGAGCTGATGTCTATGAAGTACATCTAATCCATCTCATCAAGTTTATAGAGGACTTGAAGTGTAGCCAAGAAAATTAATGAGTGGCATAATTGAGCAAACTCAGCTGTGGAGTGATCATGTTTCTTTCCACAGAATTTCTGTACTTGAGTGTATTGCATCAAGTATAAATATTTGTTAAATGTGTGAATCAATGAATAAGTGAAAGAAAGCAACAAACAGAAAAACGAATTGTGTATTGGTAGTTCCAAAATACTGAAGGTGAAATTCTCTCTAATATAGTCAGATAAAGAAAATAACTATTGCATGGTGAGTCTTTCCATTTAAGTACTGTTCCTTATTCGGAGACAGAATGCTTCCAAATTGTTGGCATTAGAAAGTCTGTCCTTACCTGAAATGCTGATGATAAGTTATGAATTATTTTTTTTTTTGGTAGGGAAGTGTTTCCATAATGCCTCCTCTTGGAAAAATTAAAATTTGAGTCATTGTTGGGCCCCAAGATTCTTTTATAAAACATTACTTGTTTATAAAAGCAAGTCATAGACATTGATTTTTAAAGGTGGCTTACTATTGTTCCCTTTCAGGTCCTGCAGTTGAGACCAAAGACGGGTGTCAAGGGATTGCATAAATCTCTCACCGATGTGGCCATGGAGCACCATGAGCAGTGTGACTGTGTATGCAGAGGGAGCACAGGAGGATAACCACATGACCACCAGCAGCTCTTACCCAGAGCTGTGCAGAGCAGTGGCTGATTCTGTTAAAGAACTTACATGTTATCTCCATCCTTAATCTCATTTGTTTGCTTCAAGGACCTTTCATCTTCAGGATTTACAGTGCATTCTGAAAGAGGAGTCATCAAACAGAATTAGGAGTTGTGCAACAGCTCTTTTGAGAGGAGGCCCAAAGGACAGGAGAAAAGTTCTTCAATCGTGGAAAGAAAATTAAATGTTGTATTAAATAGATCACCAGCTAGTTACAGAGTTACCGTGTACCTATTCCACTAGCTGCGTTCTGTATTTCAGATGTTTTGATATGGCTTAGGGTAATGTCAGTAGAGGAAAAAACTGTGCAAGTGAGCACCTGATTCTGTTGTCTTGCTTAACTCTAAAGCTCCATGTTCTGGACCTAAAATTATATAAAATCTGGATTTTTTTCTCATATTCACATAAGTAAATGAGAACATTCTATGTACTTACTACAAACCTAGTTTTTAAAAAGGAACTATGTTGCTATTAATGAAACTTGTGTCATGCTGATAGGAAAGACTGGATTTTTCATATTTCTTATTAAAATTTCTGCCATTTAGAAGAAGAGAACTAAATTCATGGTTTGGAAGAGACAAACCTGAAAACAAGAGTGGCCTTATCTTCACTTTATCTCCAAGTCAGTTTATTTGTGTTATTGTGTACATTTTTATATTCTCCTTTTGACATTATAACTGTTGGCTTTTCTAATCTTGTTAAATAATATCTATTTTTACCAAAGGTATTTAATATTCTTTTTTATGACAACTTAGATCAACTATTTTTAGCTTGATAAATTTTTTCTAAACAGAATTGTTATAGCCAGAGGAACAAAGATGATATAAAATATTGTTGCTCTGACAAAAATACATGTATTTCATTCTCGTATGGTGCTAGAGTTATTCTGCATTTTCAAAAACTGAATTGGAAATCAATAGAATTGGTAAGTTGCAAAGACTTTTTGAAAATACTTAAATTATGATATCTTCCATTCCTGTTATTGGAGATGAAAATAAAAAGCAACTTATGAAAGTAGACATTCAGATCCAACCATTACTAACCTATTCCTTTTTTGGGGAAATCTGAGCCTAGCTCAGAAGAACATTAAGCACCTTGAAAAAGACTTGGCCGCTTCCCAGCAAGGCGTGCTGTGCTATGCTGTAGGAACACATCCTATTTATTGTGATGTAACAGTTTTATGACCTTGCACTCTGTTCCATACACTTATATAAATACATGGATATTTTTATGTACAGAAGTACACCTTTAACCATTTCACTTATTGTACTCTTTGGCAATTGAAAATCAGTAAACTATTTTGCTTGTAAAATGCTTAATATCGTAACTAGGTTATGTGGTGACTATTTGAATTAAAAATGTATTGAATCATCAAATAAAAGAATGTGGCTATTTGGGGGAGAAAATTAAGTGTGTGTACGTGTGTGTGTGCACTCAAGATTTACCTCTTGGACTCTGAGAAAATGAAAGCAATAAAGTATTGTGTTATTATTTTCATTATGCAAAAGCATATGTCAATTCAAAGGACAAAAAATGGAGTATTTCTGTGAGCCTTTCTCTGCTTCTTGTTTCCAATGCCTTTGAGCAGTGGTTTTATTTTTCTCATTGTGTCTTAATACAGATTTCTGGTAATTTAAATTTCACCTGACTTGAAAGTTGTTGTATGGTTTATGAAATACTTAGTGATAGGTTATATGGTAGTATAAAACTGGAAAAAAGAAGCTTGGCAGCTTCCACTCTTGTTTTCATTGTCACTGGCCACTACTAAATAGGGTGAGCGTAAATTGATTTGGTGTATAGATTATTTTACATAGCACACATCAAGGTGTGGTTCCTCAATTCCAGACATAGATTCTTATTCAGAGCTGGTATCTTCAGCATCATTTCCTCAGCCTTTCAATTTGCCAGAGATGTCTAGTGTCCAAGGCCATCTGTCTTCATCCGACTCCTCAGGCAACCACCCTTCTCCTGTGCTTTCACACCTTGCAGGTCTACCCTGCCCCCAACTACATGAAAAACAAAGGAACAAAACGAGCCTATGTGTTCTGCCTTACTTGCTTACCTTTTCCTAGTTTTGTGCTATCCATATAGAGGCCAACTAGATATAGCTCCATGGAATATGCAAAGTAGTTGGCAATTTACAACTTTCATTAGCATAGTAAAGACAACTAAGTCTTAGTAAATGGCCTGTTTAACTATGTTTAATCCAGTGTTTCCAATCTCTTTTCCCTTTTTTAATATTTATTTTTTGTTTACTTATACAATGTTGACAGCCAGAAGATACTGTAAAGGTAGCAGTCCTCACACTGTTGCTGGTTGGTGAGTGGTTACCATGTGAGGACTAACCACTTTATAATCACTTACTCATAGATCCTGTGTATTTTACTAAAAGGAAAAAAATACATAAATAGCACGTGTGACCCAATTTCTGAGAAGTCCAGTAAGTATTGACTGTATTGACCACACTCTGCTTTGTATATGATATCTGTGTGTTTCATGCCTTTGTCCTCGAGTCATGGGCTGCCAAATGACGTTTCTTAAACAATTCTTAAATATCATAAGGCAGGTGTTCATGTCCACACTTTTCATTTCTGCAACTCATTTCTACATCCCCTCCCTCATCTAATAATTCTCATGTGCACGTGGAAAAGGTGCAAAGACCAAAGTAACGAGAAGCTACACTGGAGAAATATCTGGCATGATTTGGTTAGCCTCGGTGCCTCCCTGTCTCCAGGTGCATTGACTTAGGTTTGTGATTCGGTTTAACAAAAGGCAGAAAATGCAAGTTTTACACTCAGTGTAATATCATTATCTCTAAAAGGATAACGTGATAGTCTCCCTTCTGATATTTTAAACTGTTTCAATTATGCATTATAAAGACGGTTAAAATTATAACATTCTTTGCATTCATAACAAGGAGTAGGAAAAGTCATGGTCAGTTCAGGCTGCTGTAACAAAATACTATAGACTGGGAAGCGTTTAAACAACAGAAATTTATTTCTCATCATTGGAGGGTGGAAATCCAAGATCGGGACACCAGTATGGTCTGATTCTGGTAGGGCCATCTTCTGAATTGCAGACTCTCCTCTCTGTGATGTCTTCCCTTTGTAGAAAAAATGGTGAGAGAACTCTCTGTGCACCCTTTTGTATGGGCACAAGCTATTCCTTCACAATCCTCCACCCTCATGACCTTACTACATCCCAAAGGGTCCACCTTCTAATACCATCCCATTAGGGGTTAGGGCTTCAAATACAACTTTGAAGGGATACAAACAATCCATTGCAATGAATAATTGCTTTGCATCCTGTTTTCCATACATGCCCCACATGTAATCTATTACGAAGTCTCAGTGACTTTGACTTTTTGATATTTCTTGTATTTTTGCTTCCCTTTCCATTTCTGTACAGTGAAGCTCTTTTCCACCTTCCTTTCCACTGGCAGCACTGCCATTGTGCTTCCAGGAATATTCAATCACAAATATTGTCATATTACAATGACTTGCTCCCATTTTTTTCCCCATTTTATTTCTCATTAGACCCCCAGGTATCTCAGATAACTGTTAAAGTTAAGGAGATTAACTAATACATCATTCATTGTGTCTTAGATATTTGTTCTATAGTATGATTAATTTTTCTCAGAATTTAAAACTGTATTTAAAATATGAACATATAAAAATATCCATGATTGATGATTTATAACTTCCTTATGAATAATCCTGACTGATTAAAAAATTGCTGACTGATTTTGCATCATCAAACCTAACATACAGCTCTAGTAAACACTTAGTTTCCTGAAAATACCAATGTCTCCATATATCTCCATGCTAACACGTAACTATGTTCTCTTTTTGAGGCACTGTTCTTGCACTTACCTAGCTCAATACTTTCCTCACACTTTACTAAAATACTAATTATATCTCTTTATTCTCTGCCTCAGCATTTGCACACTACCTGTACCATATTCTGCTTCTTTCAAAACTGCTAACCTATTACAGTAAATCTTATCCAATATAAATTTATTTGCAATTTAAAGAAGAATTTTACCATTTTTGTAGAGTATATATTTTCAGATTAATAACTATATTAATAGTTATTAATATATTTTTTAATTACACATGCAATCCCAAATGGCTTTTTTACAGAAATTGACAAGCTGATCCTAATATTCATATGGAAGTACAAGACTCCCAAAACAAAATCTTGAAGAAGTGCAAAATAATACTACTCAATTTCAAAAGTTACTACAACATTACAGAAATAGTGTGGTAAAGTTAATAAAGTTAGACACAGAGATCAGTGGAATGCAATTGAGAGTCCAGAAATAAATCCTTAAATACATACTCAATTTATTTTTGACAAGAATTACAAGACAATTCAATGGTTAGATAATAGCCTTTTTGAGAAATGGTGTGAAGACAACAGAATACGCACATGCAAAGGAATAACTTTGGAACCTTTCCTCATACCCGAAAGTGAATCAAAGACCTAAGTATAAGAGAGAAAACCATAAAACTTAGAGACACAGATAGAAGAAAAATTGTGTGTCTTTGGATTAGGCAACAGTTCTCAGAACACAAAAAGCACAAGCTAAAAATAAATAAATAAATACAAAATGATAAATGAGCAAGATATCATCAGAATCAAAAGTATTTGTGCTTCAAAGAACACCGTAACAAAAATGAAAGGATAACCCACATTGTGAGAGAAAATATTTGCAAATTATAGATTAGGGTCCTGTATCAGAATATATAAAGAACTCTTACAACTCAATAATTAAAAAGCCAATTCAATAGAAAAATGAGCAAGGGCTGAATAGACATTTGTCAAAAAACATACAACGGCCAAAACACATATAAAAACATAACAGCTTTAGTCATTAAAGAAATGCAAATGAAAATCACAATTAAATACACACCCACTGACATGGCTAGACAGACAATAACAAGTGTTGGCGTGGATGCGGAGAAACTGGGACTCGTATATTGTTTGTGAGAGTATAAATGTTGCAACGACTCTGGGAAATATGCAGTTGTTCAAAATCTTAAACATAGACTAAATATGACTCCGCAATTTCGTTTCTAGGCATACACCCAAGATAACTGAAAATTCTGCACAGAAATATTCATCACATTTTTCACAATAGCCAAAAACTGGAAATCACCCAAACATGAGTCAACTGATAAATGGATGAACAAGTATGGTATATTTAAATAATGGAATATTATTAGGCAATTAAAAGGAATGAAGAACTTATACATGCTACAGCATTATGCTAGGTGAAAGAAGCCATTCATATTGTATAATTCCATTTATATGAAATATTCAACATAAACAAATCAATAGACACAAAAACTAGATTAGTGCTGCCAAAGGTTGGGGGAATGAGAAAAATGGGGGAGGACTGCTAATGAAAGGGCTCAGGCTCTCTTGGAGTAATAAAAATATTCTGAAATTATTGCACTCCAGTCTGGGTAACAACAGCGAAACTACATCTCAAAGAAAAAAAAAAATTCTGAAATTAGATAGTGAAATATTCTGAAATTATCATAGTTGTAAAACTGTGAGTATACTAAAAACCGATGATTTATACACTTTAAAAGGGTGAATTTTTTAATACATGAATTGTATCTCTCTAAAGCTGTTTTCTTTTAAAAAATTATACTTGTATATACTGTAGTATTTAAGAAATAAAGCTTTTTCTTCCCCTTCCCCCAAATAAGGAATAAAGTAACAGAAAATGACCTAAATTCTGTCACCTCAGTGCACAACATTCCAACCTACTCTCTATTTTTTTTTTTGAGATGGAGCTTTGCTCTTGTTACTCAGGCTGGACTGCAATGGCGCAATGTCAGATCACCGCAGCCTCCACCTCCTGGGTTCAAGCAATTCTCCTGCCTCAGCCTCCAGAGTAGCTGGGACTACAGGTGTGCGCCACCATGCCCAGCTAATTTTTGTATTTTTAGTAGAGATGGGGTTTCACCATGTTGACCAGGATGGTCTCGATCTCTTGACCTCATGATCCACCCACCTCGGCCTCCCAAAGTGCTGGGATTATAGGTGTGAGCCACTGCGCCCGGCCTCCAATCTGCTCTCTATGAGTGGAAGTATATAGGTAAGTAAATGGATGATGTGATAGAATCATTGGTATCAGTTCTATCCCATATAGTAATATTTGACAACTATACTTTTTCCATGGCCTAATGGTGATGGGAGTATATTTTCCCACTTGTTGAATTTGGTTTTTGTCATATGCCTTGCTTAAACAAAAGGGGAAAATGTGTGTGCAATGTGTGTTAAGGCTTCAAGTGTGCTTGCACAGATGGGTTTGAGTTCTTTGACTCCTGCTGTTACCAGGAGAAAACATAGGGCAGATTTGAAGTCAATACATGCTATGGTGTCAAATTCAAGTGAGTCCAGGCAATCTACAGATCCTTGAGTGAGAAATTAATGCTTCTTGTTGGAAGCTAATTATATTAATTCTCATACTGCTATGAAGAAATACCTGCG